TCAGCTCGTGCAGGCAAGGAGCTTTGGTGTTGCCTTTTATGCTCGTGCAGACCAGGAGCGTTGTGCCATGCAGTTTAGGCTCGTGTAGGCGAGGAGCTTCGGTGTTGCCTTTTATGCTCGTGCAGACCAGGAGCGTTGTGCCATGCAGTTTAGGCTCGTGCAGGCGAGGAGCCTCATGTCCTACAGTTTAGGCTCGTGCGGACAAGGAGCTTTGATGTTCGTCAAGCGATCCGGGAGAGCCGTTCCTCGCAATCTTCATAGCAAGGAGCCTTGACTGAGTGATTGAAGAAGTATTCAGGAAAGAAATCACGCATCGTGATGGGGATGGACGATCCATGTGTCGAAATTTCATCATCTTCAACACGTTCACGTTGCTTTGTAGGTTGACAAGAGCTGCTTTGCCCCCTTTCCGATTGGCGGACATGTGGAGGAGACGTATGCTTCTTGTGCACTTTCTTATGAGTGACTTGAGTCCATCCTTCAACTTTGCTTGTCTTGGAGGATGCCCCCAGCGGTTGAGGTGAAAACTTTGAATCGGAAGAGCCAGAAGTGAAGGTGGTATAGTTTGACTTCACCACATCGTCAAGATCTAGCTCGATGATTCCTTTCTGAGCCAGCTTCATGATGAGATCTTTCAGCACGAAGCACTTTTCTGTCGGATGACTGATGAAGCGGTGGAATTTACAGTATCTTGGACTGTCAGTACGATTCATCTCTTCCGGCCGTCTGCACTCAGGCAAACTGATCACCTTCTTGTCCAACAGGTCATCTAACATGGCAACCACATTAGAGTCGGGGAATGGATAAATCTTCTCCTCAAGCTCCTTCAAAGTGCGTCTACGCATCTCTTGATCACGAAAAGCTTCGGTTTGAATCGCCTTGCCTCGTGTGGAGATTTTGACGGGAGCTGTGTTGACCGTCATCGCTTCCTTGGTGGGTTTCCATGCAGCCTTTTCCACCTTTGTCTCAAGAGCTTTGTCGTTTTTGTAGTTGGCGATCGGTTCCTTCTTCCCATGATGGGCGATGCTCAACTCCATGTCATGGGCGCGAGTGGCCAATTCCTCAAAGGTCCGTGGTTTAATGCCTTGAAGGATGTATTGCAAACCCCATTGCATGCCTTGGACGCACATCTCGATTGAAGAGGTTTCCGAGAGCCTGTCTTTACAGTCGAGGCTTAGAGTGCGCCACCTGTTGATGTAGTCAATGACTAGCTCGTCCTTCCACTGCTTTGTGCTCGTTAGCTCTAGCATGCTCACAGTGCGGCGGGTGCTATAGAAGCGGTTGAGGAATTCCCGCTCTAATTGTTCCCAGTTGTTGATGGACTCAGGCTCTAGGTCCGTGTACCACTCAAAGGCATTTCCTTTCAGCGAGCGCACAAACTGCTTGGCGAGGTAGTCTCCCTCCGTCCCTGCGTTGTTGCAGGTTTCAACGAAGTGGGCAACGTGCTGTTTCGGGTTTCCCTTTCCATCAAATTGCATGAACTTTGGTGGTTGATAACCCCTCGGCATCCTTAAGGCGTCGATCTTCTTTGAATACGGCTTTGAGTACAACCCGGAGGTATTTGAGCTCCCTTCGTACTGTGCCTTGATGGTGTTGGTGATCATCTTTTGCAGCTGCTGGATAGAAAGAGATCCCATGAGTGCCGCTGTTTGGTCTGGCTCGGGCTTCGCATCGTTTTTCTCCACCTGAGGCTCATCTTCTGGGTTAGGGTTCTCGTCGTCCTGTGGCTCTAGTCGGCTGACGAGTGCAGCGATTTGCAAGTCTTTTTCTTCCACAATTCGGGTTAGCCTTGCTATTGCTTCATTCATCTGAGCCAGTTGTTCTTCAACGGAGGTAACGCCGATAGTCATGACTTGTGCGACCAATAGACGTGACTTTCCTTTAGACATCCAGGATGCTGATGAAGAACGTCGTTGGCTGCTTTGAGATGTCATCTTATGTGCCTCAGCATCATGCTTCGGTGCCCCCAGCGAGGTCAGGTTGATGACAGACTCACACATTGGATGCTTCCCTTGCTCTTTTAGCGGCACCAATTTTGAAGTGGCATGTTGAGGAGCGGTTGTGGCACCAATGGATTGTCCGTTTGCGGCAGAAGTGCTTAGGATCCTTCCCTCAATGGTTGCAAGAACGGCTTGTCCCTTACTTGATGCCATTGACTTTGAGGTGTGCTTGGATTCCTTGAACGGAGAAAGAGATGAGAGGCAGAGATGGTCCCACTGGGCGTGCCAATTTGTGAACACGGAAAATTCCTGAAACGAAAGAGACAAGAACGACGTGCACAAACAAATATTTGTATTTGATGATTTTGGGTTACAATCTCTCTCTATTTTGATCCTCTGATTCGATCTCCGTAAGGTATTGATTTGTGGATGTGTCCTTGATCCAAGGGCCGTCGAGGCTTGATCTTGGATGAACTGTTGGAAGTTTCTTCAAGGGGCCGTGGGCTTGATCTTTGAAGGTGGATTTGAGCAGATCTTCAAAGGGGCTTTTGGGCTTGATCTTTGAAGAACAGTGACGAACGGATCTCCAAGGGCTTTTGGGCTTGATCTTGAAGAACAGTGATGAACGGATCTTCAAGGGCTTTTTGAGCTTGATCTTGAAGAACGGTTGGATGTGTGGATTTGTCGACGTTGTTGATCCAAAGGGCCGTTGGGGCTTGATCTTGGATGAACGGATGATGAACGATGGTGCTTTCTTCAAGGGCCGTCGGGGCTTGATCTTGAATTGGTGGATGGTTGATCCAAGGGGCTGTTGGGGCTTGATCTTGGAAGAACGATGAACGAAGAACGAGGAACACTTTCTTCAAGGGCCGTCGGGGCTTGATCTTGAATTGGTGGATGATTGTTGATCCAAATGGCCGTTGGGGCTTGATCTTAGGATGAACGATGAACGAAGAACGCTTTCTTGATTCTTCGGGAACCTGGATGCTTGAGAGCTTCGGAGTTTCTTCAGAGCTTCAAGAGTTTTGCCTAATGATTTTTGGTCCCTTTAAATGAATGAAATGGGCTTGTATTTATAGAATTTTCCAATGCCTAATTTTGAATATAATATCCCAGATGAAATAAGTCGTTTCTGCCAGGTGTTGACACGTGTCCTATTTGATGACTTTTCTAACTCATTTCAATTTTCGTTGAGTCACACGCTACGTGTAAAATTTATGTAATACATGAGCGTTGACACTTTGATTTATCGGTCAACATTTATTTACGAAATTTCGATGTCTACAACTGTATTTTCAGTTCCAATTGACATTGAATTGGGGCTTTTTTTATTTAAAAAATTAAGCATTATTTTTTTTGTTAATTGTTATAAAAAAAAATATTTATTTTAAATGTTAATTGGAACTGAAAATACAGTTTTACCCATACTTTTAACAGTCATTTAGCAGAAATCTTACTTTTAGACTAAATTTGCTAACATTCTTGACCACAGGGGTTTAATTCCTAGTTTTTTCACCACGGAGGTCATCATGCAAGTTTCCTATGACCACGGGGATGAATAATCCAATTTGGCCTTTTATTTTGGTGAGCGGTGACAATTTGTACAGAAAAATTTGTTTTAGAAAACTTTGCACTTTTATCAAACTCTTCAAATCTAATTATTTTATATTTTATATTAATTATTTATTTTTACAATTATTTTTTGTCTTTCAACTTACGTAGCCTACTATTTGATTTTATTCATAAAAAGAATTAATGTGAATAGTGAGAGAGAGGTTTCTAAATTTGTGGAGAGAGAAGGATGTCTTAAATTTGAAAAAACGAAGTGATTTTATCACACATTTTTTCAGCCTTCACACACATCTTTATTTATGGCTATCAAATTGAATAAATTAAGCGAAATCAATGTTAGACTAGACAAGGTGTGTGAGAAATTAAAAAATAGAACAATACTTGACTACTCAAATGATGAGTAGAAGTTCCTACTTTTGTTTATGATTAAAACTGTTTATATTATAAATTACTTTATCCAAACTGCCTCTGCAAAAAATTAATTAAAACTAAGGTTGTTTAGTCATCGGTCTGCAACGAGATTGGTAAAAGCATTACGAACCTATGTATTTGTTACAATAGATTAACTAAACGATCTTAGTTTTTATGCGTATTTTTGCAGAGATGATCTTTACAATGTAATTCATAATATGAACGGTTCTGATTAATAAGTACAAAACTTTGTAATTCAAACACGAAATTTTTTGAGTAAAATAGTTCTTACTTATCCGTGAGTAACCAATCATTGTTCTGAAACATATGTGTTAAAATCACTACCGTAGCGGAATCCAAAATCAACTTGCAGTTTTGAACCCAAGGACAATGACTATCTAGTGTAAATGAGTTTTTCTTTCTAACCTGACTCGATGCCAAATGGCCCTCAACTCAAAATCGGAGAGATGCTCTCTTTTCATTAATTCAATAATTAGTGCGTTAAGTGTGATTAAGTGGGGATTACACTTGAGTAGGCTTACTTTAGGATAAAGATTAAACTTCTAATCTAAAACAGAGCGTGACATTCGTGAAACTCTTATTTGTAAATGATAACTGCCAAGGAAAAATCTTAACTAATTTGGTATATAATTTTGTGGGTGTTGTATTTTGATTAATTAAGAAAAGTTAAGAATCGAGCTCTTAATTTGTGTGAGATTGACTAATAAGATATAATAATGAGGATCGCAAAATATGAATGGTAAGGTTTAGATTCGTGACTCTGAACATAGAGATCCGGTGAGAAATCTCAGTTCCTTTTCCTTCTCGAACTCACTAGTTGCCAGCTAGCCCTCGCCGCACATGAGAGCAAGGATGCCACGCATTATTTTCTTCAACCAACGTGTTTCACTCGTATGAATTCAAACTCAGGCAACAAACCACGTGGCATACAACACCAACCTCTTGTACTGCCGCGTGTCCACCCATGATGCATCCACCTCCCTCTCTCCTCATATTTATTCATCTCTCAGTCGATCAGAACACTTAACATTCTGAAAGATCACAACTGTGTTCACCATGGCCGATCAATCACGACAGCAACAACTGACCCGAAAGCTCCACGACCAAGACCAGGACCAGTGGCAGCTGTTGGCCCCCTCCTCCTCCGCAGCCGGCCAGACTGGCAAGTTCCTGACCGCGGGCGCAGCTGGTATCACGCTCTTGATGTTATCCGGGTTAACTTTAACCGGGACAGTGATGGCCCTCATCATGGCCACCCCGGTTTTGGTCCTGTTTAGTCCGGTTCTAGTACCGGCTGCCATTGTCCTGTTGCTGACGGCAGCTGGTCTTGTTTTCTCCGGCGGGTGCGGCATGGCAGCAATACTGGCGTTTTCGTGGATGTATAAGAATGTGTCGAGTTACGTGGCTGCTAAGAAAAGGGGTAACCCGTATGGGCAGTTCGCACAAATTGGTTTGTAGATTTGATTGTGATTTTAGAGGGACTATCTTTTTAAGTTTTACTTTGTAAGCCACATGATGTGGCAGTTGATGTTAGATAAATGATGTTTAATGCCGTCCCAGCCTCCTCTTTTCCGTCAAATTCAATTCACTCAAATTCAATTCACTTGGATGAGGAAAATAAACTTGAAATTTTGATTAAAGACATAATTTATAAATTGACATGCATTAATTTTCTTGTTTGGAGTCATAAACTATTAAGAAATTTAGAATTTTCGCATGAAAAAAAAACTTGGAATTTGGGAACTTCAATTTTAATTTCATTATTTTTTTAAGTTACCCAAACAAGAAAATTCACAAATTCTATAGAATAAAATTCTATCATTTAAATTTTCGTTATTTTAAAATTTCTTAGTAATCTTAAATTTCTTCGTCCAAACATAATGTAAGTCTACTATAATTTATACGGCAATGTCCTGGCCTTCTAAATTTGGATTAAAATGATGACTTTAACCTCGTGAGTTTATTTAACAGAAAACTGGCGGAAGTTCAGGTTTGTACCCCTATATTGCCAACGATGCTCACCGCAATCCCTTAATTATTAGGTTTTTCACACGAGGATCACGTTGAAAATACCCTCTCACTTTGATCGAACCCATTTGCGAAAGGGAAAATGCAAGCTCCTATTCCATCCCAACCCAAATTCAACCATTTCCCCAGCTTATAAAAAGATAGTTCCCATTTGCGAAAGGGAAAATGCAAGCTCCTATTCCATCCCAACCCAAATTCAACCATTTGCCCAGCTTATAAAAAGATAGTTTTTTTATTTTTTTTTATTTTTTTGTCAAACATTAGATTAGCCACCGACAGAGTTTGAACTTACGCTGTCATGTAAAAATTCAACACATTTTCATCACTGTGGTAAATGATCACTTGTATAAAAAGATAGTTGGGGTTGATAAAAAGATACAGGTTTTACCGTTGGGGTTTTTAAATTTTAGGGCTTAGATTTTAACCTGCGTTCTCAAAATCTAATATAAATTTTAAATCATATTGAAGTAATTATAGCACATTATTATTATTTATAAACTTACTATTCGAAATTCTTTACTCAGTTATAATTAATGTATATTTTTGTGCTTCAATATGATAAAAATCCATTCAAAATTCAAATTATTATTAATAAAAAATTCAACAACAAAACAAAAATAATTTATATACATAATTTTCGGTATTTTATTTTATTCTTAGGTACGGAAGTATTTATACATAAGTTTCAGTATGAATATATCGGTACATAATTTTAGGTACTTTATTTTACTCATAAGTGTAGAAGTATCGATAGGTAAGTTTCAGTACAAATGTGTCTGTAGGTAACTATAGTCTCTAAACATACATATATACGTAATATGCATATACATATATATGAAGAAATTCATGCACAATGAAAAATATATGATAATATATGACTACATTTTTATTATTTATGGGAATCCATATATAACCTTCAAATAAAAAACTCAATAATTATTAGAACCTATTTAATATTTAAAAATTACAATTAAATGTCAAGGATTAAAATTAGTTTTTAATCTTAGACAAGGTTTTATTCAAAAAGTAATCTTAGACAAGGATTAAAATAGAATTTTTCGTTTAGTAGCCTGAGCTTAACGTAGTGGTGGGTTAACTATATAGTAGAGGGACTTGGATCCTCTCTTGAGTTCAAAGAGAGGATCCTCCTGACCAAGGATCTTGGACCGTTAAATTTTCATTCAACGATTATAATTATTATAATTTTAAAAGAACCTCATATTTGTAGCCATTGAATAAAAATTCAACGGTCCAAGATCCTTGATTAGGAGGATCCTCTCCTTGGGCTTAGGAGAGGATGGCTTAAACAATTCAAATTCAAACTACTGTGTAGTGGGTATAGAGGCGACAGAACTAGTTTGCTGCCTTTATGCATGGCTTTGTATTAGTGTCCCGACGCGTGCCGAGAGAGAACGGAGGAATATGTTGTCTCTACTATTGCACACGTGTTTCATATCTACATACTCCAAACGCATGCAAATCACTACGTGTCACCAAAAAGCAAATTTATAAACCCCCTTCACAGATACACTTTTTCACCGAGGGAGTCCGTGAGCAAAACATGGCTGATCAATCAAGACAAACGAGCCAGAAGCTCTACGAGTCGGCCCCGGTCTCATACCGGGCCACCAAGTTCTTGATCGCGGTCACAATCGGTGCTGCGCTCTTAGTCTTGTCCTGCTTAACCTTGACCCGGGACAGTGATGGCCCTGATCATGGCCACACCAGTTCTAGTGCTGTTTAGTCCGGTACTACTCCCGGCTGGGATAGTCCTTTTTCCTCACAGCCTCCGGTTTTGTTTTGTCCAGCGTTTGCGGCATGGTGGCCGTGACGCCATTTTGGTGGTTGTATACATACACGTATAACTATGTCGCGGCGAAGCAAAGGGCTCACGGGTTTGGGCAATTCACGATACTTGGTGTATAGTAACGGTGGCTGTGGTGTTTTAGTTTTGTATTAATAGATTATGTAGGTTTATGTGTTTTTGTTAATGAAGAGACTCCTCTTTTGTTCTTGTTTTCTCTGCTTTCATGTCCTGTGCTTGTGGAGTCAACTGTAGTTGTATTTGAGACACATGACGCGCTTTTAAGTTGGTAACTTTATACTTTATAATGTTAATCAGCACTTCCTTGAGTTTGGCAAGTTTTCATAAATTATCTTACGTTTGAGACATTAGATTAAAACTGCATTCGGTTTTTACTTTTTAAGAAATCTCTTGAGTAACAAATTTAATGATTCAACGGCGAAGCGACAAACTTTTCACAAACTAGAATCTCACAGATCTTCCTGCATTACATAATTGAACATTGTAGTCGCCCTTTAAGAGAAGGCCTACTTAGTACTGAAAACGTGAAACAGTAAAAATGAACTTATTCTCACAGGCAAAACTGAATTTATTCTCACAGGTAAAAATGAACTTATTCTCACAGCACAGCAGAAACAATTTTTTTTTTCAAAGTGCAGAGAAGGCATACTTACTTTGTTAACCAAGAGTTTAGACAGGAATAGCGGTAAATTGACAAGGCAACTTTATTCTTATTAATTACTTGAAATTAATTAACAAAAGCTTCATAATTATATATAAAAAATGAATAAATATTAGACACTTAAAAGGGCAAATTTGGCATCGCGCAGTCTTGTATTCTACACCTCGTATAACGCAGCCTCCCGACGGCGTCGTTCTTCACCTCACTGTTTCATTTGGCTTCACACAGGACTTAACGACTCCAAAGTTGCAAGGATGGTTTCATTTCATGTTGGGGAGCCTAGCTGTGAACTAGAGGTTTATAGCTTAAACCCTATAAGGTTGGAAAAGGATTGGTAATTAAAATTTTAGGGTGTTAATGTAATGTCTTAAATGTGAAGAGTTTTGTGAAAACTCACTAAACTTCAGTTGTGTTAATGTAATCAACTCATTTGTGGATCTTGTTTATGCTTTCCCTACAAAATAATCTCGTGATCCAAGAGGTCTTAATTGACATATCATTCTGGCAAAAGCTCACTTAGAACGGAAATCGATTAGTTATTTAATTATTAATGTATTATTGTAAACATTATGTTTGTTGTAACTTTGTATTTGTTCGATCTAGAGTGAGTCTTTACAAGAATAATCTTTCAATGACTTTAAAAATAATCCATCCAAATTATACCACATCAGTGTATTCATTCGATCCGAGAAGAATGAGATGACTATTTTGAAGTGTTGATAAATGTTTACATTTGAGAAAAAATAAAGAAAAATAAGAATGTAAATTAAGGGACTGAATGTACTATAAGTAGCTACACGTGATTTCATCGTCCGAGTGCATGCCAAATTTGAGATAATGTGCTAAATCTTCCCAACAGGTAACAGAAAATTAAGAAGCACCACCATTCGGATTGTAAGCCAAACAAGAAGTGCTTCCTCCAAAAGTTGCTTCTGAATTCAAATCTCTATACTTCAATGCGCTGTAAAGTGGAAATGCAGGATGATCCCGAAATACCAAAATTTGACGAAGCCAGCTGCTTTTGTGAGTCCGATGTTCAAGAATCTTTAGAAGCATTCTCATCCACCCGCGGCAGCAAAAACGGTGGAAGGAATGACGGTACGGTGAACGCCAAGGCCAAACACACCACTACAAAGCCTACAACCCACCAAGCTTTGTACGGAATCCCCAATAGTAGTTCATCACAAACTGCCACCAACATAAAAGAGATGAACTTTGTTACAAAAGCAAATTGTAACAGGAAAATCTACAGTAAAGAAGAGGGAGATTGATAAAGAAAAACATTTACATATGGGAGCTGTTATTGGCAAGCCATGCAACTTAAAGTGCAGTTTGCAGATGGTTTTTCGAGTGCCAATACCAGCTCCTTTTTCGTACCAACTTCTCGTGCAAAGTTTACTGTAATTAGTGGCATGATGGCAGCAATTGATTGATATCTGCATTACCTATGTTGAATATGATGTGTTCCCTCTCTTGCACATTTGGTATTGCAACAACCCCCTCAGGCTCCACACTCACCAACACAGACATTTCACCCTGAACAGTCATCAGAGTTCAAAAGCTTACAGGGCATCTCGGAAAATGCAAGTTATAGTGCAACAATGCATCCAATTCAAAGGGTCAGTGGAAAAAATTGAACCTGATCATCAGAGCCAAGACTCTCAGTCTTGAAAATAAGCTTTTCCGTATTTAGTAATCTTCGGTTCCCAGTCAGCGCCGATTCCAAGTCCCCTTTCTTGAGTTGCAAGGAAAAGCTAGCCGGTATCTATTAACACGCATCAACAGAAGTTATGGAACCCATAAGAGGATTGCTGAACAGCACAAAGCAAATTAAAGGTTGAGAAATACATACAGAAGCAGGATATGATATCTTCACTTCATACGAAGTATAAGGCTTGAGTCCATGAAGCCGGTAAAGGCATGAACCCGAATGCAGCGGTAGAGTCTCCCTCCACAGCTCTTCACCAACCTTCAAAACTTTGATGTCTGTCCTGTAAAAGGTGTAGAGCAGTGAATTGGGTTTAAGCCAATGCGCCTAGAGAACGAAATCAACGCAGAAAAATTTGCAAATTGGGTTTCATTCGGGTAATACTAACGCGTTTGCCTCGCTTGAATTTGAGCAGCTGATGATGATGCAGATAATGCAGAGGCTGATCAAAAGATTACGAATTCGACGCATAGCTTCCTGAACCTGACCAACCAGAATAACACATTTCAGCGGTTTTCCTTCTTCATTGGCGCATTTCATCAAACATTTGGTGGGTAACAAAAACCGCAGAGTAATCAAGCTAATAACTTTATATAAAGCAAGAAATAAACAACCCCACTGGAGCTCCATAATCTACGAAGCAAGGATACTGTCGTTTTGGTTGAAGAAAGAACACAATTCTTCCGGCAATTTCATTTGATCATTCCAAATCAAAGAACGACAGTTGTTTTTGCATTCAAGCTAGTTTTCCTTACCTTTCTGGGAAACCAAACAGAAAAATGATCGATCGGCGGCAGAAATTAGGGCTTACAGAATCCCGCAGTGCTAGATTGCATATTAATTTTCTCGGGAATCGATCAGTGAATATTTTCTCAGGAACCAATCAGTCAGCAACCAGCTCTAAACGAAGCGTTCAGAAAGCAGCACTATAGAAGAAGAAGAAAGCACTAAACGCACCGTTTCGGTCGTTCTAAATTTCTTATTACGAGTTAACTAAAAAAAAAAAAAAAAGTTTCTTATTACTTCATAAAACCGCTAAAACGACGCACTCCGGTTGCCGTTAATCGTCTTCCTACCGAAATCTCCCTCGCTCAATAACAATAACAGCTACTCAGCCAGCTCTGATCGAATTATATTTTTGGGGTTAATTTTGCAGAGCAAAAACCCTAATCCCCTTTTCAGTAGATAGAATTAGTATTAGCTGAACAGAGTCCCTCTCTGCAACTGTTGCTGCATTCGAATTTTCGACAATGGTGAGTAATTCGAACGCTTCTTTTATTCGATCGAGTTTATTTTATTTAATTTAGTTTTTTTCGATTTTGTTTTCGGTGTTCCGGTTCTGAATTTCTATGCTTTTTCAGTTCTCGATTGCAGCTATCAATGATACGGAGTCCAAAGGCAAATGGGAACCTTTAGCTCCCACCAAAGAAGCTCAGGCATGCCTCTCTCCTTCTCTCTCTCTCTACTTTTTCTGTTACAGTTCAGCTATTTTTGGGTTGATTTAGCTAATGAGTTGGGATTTTCTGGGATAGTATATTAATTTCAAGCACCTTTAGCAGAAGTCAATTTATTGAGGACAAAGGAGAGAAATTTGAATTCTGTGTAGCATTAATATTTGGGAAGTTTATTGTACTTCTTATCATTGTTTCAATAAACTGAGTGAGCCGGAAAATGTGAATTGGACCCGGGTTTTCTGTATGGTAGCCCGATTCATAAGTGTTTAGATTTTCTCAGCTGAAGATGTTTTCTTTTTCTGATCAGTGATTAGATAGAGTTCATACTGTTTAGTTTGGTCATGGCAGGAATTCCATCTTTCACAAACATATCATGAAGGACTTCACAAATTGCAAGTCAAGGAATACAAAAAGGCTGCTGAACTGTTAGAATCCGTCCTAAAAGATCCTCTTATAGAAAATGCGCAGGTGAGCGTATGACCTTCAGCGGACATTATTTAGATGGCAGTCTTGTTGTTTGTCTATGAATAGGTAGTTATACTTGTTTCTATTGCCATGCAGGTGGATGGTAGTGTTAGTGATTGCCATCTATTGCAACTCAGGTTTGGATTTCTGCACTACTCCATAATATACTTTGTGCAATTCTCGAAGTTGGTGTACAGTTTTCTATTTCACATAGGAGGAATCAGTCTCTTGTAGAATTTTAGTTTTGTAACTTTTCTCTCACTAATATTTTTGTGAGAATAAAAAGGATAAAAAGAAAAAAAATGAACAAGATGTCCATAAACATCTTTCTCCAATTATATTTTTCATGCCGACTGCAGATTTTTGGCTCTGAAGAACCTTGCCAATGTTTACCTTCAACAAGGTTCAGCATATTATGAGAATGCTTTACGATGTTATCTTCAAGCTGTAGAGATTGATACCAAAGATTCTGTTGTCTGGAACCAGCTGGGAACATTGTCATGCTCAATGGGTTCTCTCAGTATATCCCGTTGGGCATTTGAGCAAGGGCTTATATGTAGCCCTAATAATTGTGAGCAATTTATGATGTTTGAATTATTTTTCTCTACATCCATACTAAAATACATGTCCTATATTCATAATGATGGGCTCAGCACCATATTTTGACAGAGTAATATTATGTCTTCTCTGAAATTTTTATGCAGGGAACTGCATGGAGAAATTATTGGAAGTTCTTATTGCTATTGGTGATGAGGTTGCATGCCTTTCTGTGGCTGAGTTAATTTTGAGGCATTGGCCATCACATTCTCGTGCTTTGCATGTCAAGAGAACCATTGAGGAGTCCGAGCCAGTTCCATTTGCTCCTAGAGGTATAGATAAGCTAGAACCTAAACATGTCCGTCTAAGATTCGTTGACAAGAGAAAAGCTACTGATGAAAATCTAGAGGAGGGCGCTGCATCCAAGAAGCTGAAGCAGACCATAGATCTGAACCTTGCAGAAGCTTCTTGGGCTGCTCTTGTTGATGCACTCTTGGATATCTTACTCCCGTTGAATGGGTGTCAGTCTGAGATGGGGGAAGCAAAATCATACCGATCTGGAGATGTCAGATTAATTTTGCATTTACCTCCTAGTTCAGAGAGTACCATAGGATTTGAGGAAAGGAAAGGGTTTAACTTATCCCCAATCAGTGGAAATGCTGTATTTGGTGATTGTACCACTGAACGAACAGGTGTTGTTATAGAAAAAGCAACAAATTTTCTAGACTTCCAACCACAGGAAAGGCGGAGTACTCGTCTTGAAAGGCTTAGAAGCCGTAAACCAGGGAAAGAAGATATTGAATTTGCTAATGGTAAGGATCAGGCCAAGGCTGTACTTCAATATCTAGAACCTTTTGTTGCTGGTAGATCAGGAAGCAAAGATTCTGGTCATAGTTCTGTTTCATGTCCTGATCAAGCTAATCCATGGGATACCGAATATGGTGACGTGTCCAGATTTATTAAAAAAACATCAAATAACTATGGTGCTTTCCATGTGGCTCATTTGCTTTTAGAGGATGCTGCCAGTAGAGGTCTTTTGTATCAGGATGCATTTGTTAAGTTCTTGGAGTTGGAAAGAATTACAAGGAATTGGGGGAAGGATAGGAGCCCTGAATGTTGTCTTTTTCTTGCTGAACTTTGTTATGATCTTGGGTCGATGTCTTCCGATGTTTCCAGGCTATCTGAATTCATGTCTGAGGCATCTTATCATCTTTGTAAAATTATCGAATCAGTAGCTGTGGAAGATGAATGTATTTTTGGGCTTAAGAGATTCTTTGGTACTGATGGAATATCCGTGAACACCTCTGTTTGTCAGGATGTATCATTAGGTGGTTCTTTAACAAGTAACAGTTCCTTCTGGGTTCGTTTTTTCTGGTTAAGTGGACGGTTGTCTGTTTTGGATGGCAACAAGGAAAAAGCCCACCAAGAATTCTGTATTTCATTGTCTCTTTTGGAAAAGAAGGAAAATACGAATGATTCCCAATGTGTGATCCGCCTTCCATATTGCAAGGTTGTTAAAGAGTTAACCATTTATAGAATTCTCCATGAAATTAACATTTTAAAGGTTGATTTCTTGATGAAGAAGACTTTGGGCGAGATGATTGAGAAGGAAATGTACATGGAGTGCATGTCCTTGCTTGTTCCACTTCTATTTGCAACAAAAAATGCTCCCCCTGATGCATTACCCTTGCGCTTAGCTGATAAAGGCAGAGAGGAAATTACTTCTGTTGAACTATCAGCACTAGACATTTTAATCAAAACATGTGAGAAGACAAAGCCTATGGATGTTGATGTTTATTTGAATTGCCATCAGCGGAAATTGCAAATCCTTATGGCAGCAGCAGGGATTGATGAATGCCTTGGTTCCTGTAAATCCTTACTATTGAAATCAGGATCAAACACTCGCTATGCTTCTGACGTAGACACCAAAGAAATTGCAAGCAAGCAGTGCTGGAATTTATTGGTTGCAGAGGAAGTGAAGGCTATTTCTCAATGTGTGTCACAAGTGAAGAACTTGATTGATCAATCTGGGGCTTCTGTAAGTCAATCAATATTCATGTATAAATAGCTTTGATACTTGATCATGCTTACCTCAAACTGTAAAATTCAGTACATTTTTTCCAATTAAACAAAGATTTAGGTTTTCAAAAGTGAATTAACTTTATGTATCAGTCTAGAGATTTTGTAATTTCATGTTTTGTGCAGTATGTAATTATATCTTATGCTTGCAGGACACTATTCCGATGAGCAGCATAGGTGATATGCAATGCTTGCTCTTGTCAGTAATGTACAACGTTGCAAGCATATTCCTCTCTAAGAAGTCTGATCTAGCAAATACTGATCAAATTGAAAGAAATTGCTTCATTGAAGCTTCCATCGCATTCTGCAAGATTCAGCACCTCAACGCCATGATAAATGTTAAAACTCAAGTGAGTCTTGTGAACTCAAGTTGCTCATACAATGAACTCTTTCAGGAATATTTTTTGTTTCATTCTCCTTACCTTTTTTAAATTTTCGGATTTTGCGTCGTAGGTGGACTTAATTGTGACAATGCATGATTTACTCGCTGAGTATGGGCTTTGCTGTGCCGGGAAGGGTGGTGAAGTGGAGGAAGGAACTTTTCTTAAGTTCGCAATTAAGCATCTGTTGGCCTTGGATATGAAGTTTAAATCTAACGTTAACTCATCAAACCAGGAAACAACTCAATCTAGTGAGCAGCTTTGCCTAAATTGTCCTGCCAAAATGTCTCCCAAGGAATCAAAATCAGATACTGATTTGGAAATGGTGCACACTGGAATAGATGATACAAGTGCTGTAGGAAAGGATGCTTCTGAAGGGATACCTTCCAAAAGCACTTCACTTCAGAATTCCGTAGATAAAGACAGCATGGAATTGGAAGGTGGAAAGCCACATGTAGATGGGTCAGGTGGCAAGTTCAACAGATCCGAAGAAAGTGATCACTTAAATGAAGCTGGAGATGAGCTCATTGAAGATGAAAGGGAGGAACTTGAGTTAAAAATTGATTATGCATTGGATCAGTGTTTCTTCTGCTTATATGGTCTAAATATTAGATCTGATTCATCCTATGAAGATGAGTTAGTTGTGCACAAAAATACTAGCCCCGGTGATTACCAGACAAAGGAACAGTGTGCTGATGTTTTTCAGTACATACTCCCTTATGCAAAGGCTTCTTCTGTGAGCTCCTCCCTACCCTCTCCTTTATTTTTTTATTCCATGTGATTCCGTACATTGCATGTGCCTATCCTCATCATTACAATTTATCACAAGGGTCCTAATGACAAGGCCTTGTAGCACCCACAGCTATTTAGTTTCCCCAACCTTTATTTGGCTACTTGTATACCTGTATGTTGCAGAGGACAGGATTAGTTAAAGTTCGACGAGTGCTCAGAGCCATACGCAAACATTTTCCACAACCACCAGAAGATGTTTTAGCTGGAAATGCAATAGAGAAGTTCTTAGATGATCCTCATTTGTGTGAAGATA